GGAAACGTATGCGGGGTCGGGTAAGTTGAAGGTATGAATGGTATACGATTGTATCAGGGCTAAGGCCTCAATCAGACCTTTGGGCAAGTTACTTTGGGACGATCTCATTTATCCTATGGATGGTTGCCTTGAACCGAAAGCTCACGATGGACCACATGGCCTACTTAGGGCTCAACGAGAAGTGTGTGTTATGTGGGATTGAAGATGAAGATCGAGACGTGCAGCATGTCTCGCGAAATTTAGGATGGCATTAGGGTTTGGTTGGGGATTGGCCGACGGCCGACTACTCTTAGGGCTGCTCTAAAATGACTCAGAACGATGTTCGTGGAAAGTCTTACCGAAGCAAGGCCCAATGGTGTGCATTAGCTAGTGTAGTGTAACAGATATGGCGGTTTGAAAGAGTTGAGACCACGCCAACCGCCCTATTGAGGAAGATACAAATTCACGTGTACTCGGTAATGTTCGTGTACAACCCGGAGCTGACTTCATTACGTGGAGGTGGACTAACCGGTGGACTTATGCGCGGTTGATGGTGCAGCTATGGTAGGGTTTCCGGGGTTAACCCCTTTTATTGTTTCGTTTCGATTATGTTCATTTTGATGTTTCGTTTATGTTTCGCAAATTTCCTCAGGTATGCCCGTTTTAATTGTATACTACTTTTATTTATTTATAATATTTACATTTTCGATTAAAAAAAAAGACAAATTACAGCCACCCCTGAGGTATGGATAAATTACGAAAAAAGACCCCTCTTGTTTGAGTAATTACAGTCTCCTTTTAAATATTTTTACATAAAAATTATGTAATTCGGTTATTTACCGAATGAAATCGTATATTCATTTTTGTAAACAGTATGAAATGTTGCTGTACCAAAACTTCAGTTCGGTTTTACCGATTTAACATCTCTAACTTTACTTATAGAGGGGTATTTTCATAAAATAATATATAGTCGAGCGGGGTGGCTGTAATTACCCAAACATGAGTGAAATTTTCGTAATTTAACCATAACTCAGGTCATAGGGGTAGCCGTAATTTGCTTAGCAACCCTAGGAGGCAATTTGTTGTCCAATGTATTTCTCGTTTCTAGTAACCTAATTTGTCTTCTCATATTTGGAGTGAAACTAGATCTGAACATAATAATAATAAAGAATTACAACAAAAGCATTTTGCAATAATAAACATTTACTGCATGTTTACACGCTTGAAAGCACATCTATGGACAGATGGAACTCCAGAAAAAAACTGTTGCTTGAAGCAATAGCAAGAACACCAACGAAAAACCTTATAGTTCTTGCTTAGGTTGTTTCATTAACATGTGATCGATCTTCAAGCCATTGGTTAGAGCAGACGCCGATGTAAGACATGCCCTCAATATGCTTAAACCCTACATACACCAACAAAAAAAGTCTCAATATATATATATATATATATATATATATATATATATATATATATATATATATATATATATATATATATATATATATATATATATATATATATATATATATATATATATATATATATATATATATATATATATATATATATATATATATATATATATATATATATATATATATATATATATATATATATATATATATATATATATATATATATATATATATATATATATATATTTCTATTACCTCTTCCACCCCAATTTCAAGCTCCAACTCTTTGACATCAGACATAGGTATTTTCAGCCCTTTGAGTGTGGAAATTGTCGAGAACATATCAAACGGTGTGACCGTTAAATCATCGCTTATGTTATACATTCTTGGGCCCCTAACATATTTCCCCTGCCCTTTCACAAACTTGACTGAACGAAGGCTGGCCTGATAGTTATAACAACACCCTGAATGGACAAAATAGGTTTGAGAAACACTTTCTTCACTAAGAGGAAGAATTGGGTTCCCCGAAATATAACCATGACGTAGCTTTGGTTTCATTAGCTTATTACTTATATCTACAGTCACCATATACTTGTCACTGTTAAGATCCGCTACGCTCATGTACAAATTGTCTATACTTTTCAGACAAGTATTACCGCCCAAAAGACACTCAACTCCTCCCAGGGGTATGGCCATCAAACTACAAAGAAAATCAATAAAATCTTCTTGTGCTTGAGCAAATAATATCTTGTTGTTAGATTTTAGTGAAATGACTTTCAGAATCATCTTCTTAGAGTTAGTAGTTGATTCTTTGACAATCTCATGTGATAAAATTTCTGGTTCAAAGTCGTCGACCTGTCTTTTATTGAATATGATGTCGGACAGTGGAGTACGAGAGGTAAAGGATCCCTCGAGCAAATCCATAATCTACAAAACAGTATATAACAAAAAGATTTAATTGTCGTTTTTTAGCTTTGCAAAAAGATTAAGAATTTCATTAAATGTGTCTTGATTTTAGGAAAATGTATGCTTTTAGACTAAAATGACCTTGTCTTATAATTAATAAGAGAGAGAAATTAGTTAAAAAAGAGTGTTGGAAAGAATTTATAAAGGTATAAATTGGAATTTAATTAATTAATGAAGTGTTGAAAATTTAAAGTGACTGCTAATATGGAAAGAAAAAAAAATTCTCCAAAGTGACAAATATTATAAAATATTATTTTTAGGAAAAAATGTTCAGAATAAAGACTTACCTCATTGAATCCAAAATTGACAATCATTGTATCGCCAACATCTGCATCATTAATGCCTAGAATGTTGAAAGTTTGAAAGAATCCTTTTGTAGTAGGAAATATTTTAAGATCATCAGAGATTATAAAAGAATCTGAATTGACAGTAAAAACTCCACCACCATCAGCAGCAGCTTTAGCAACCTTTTCACCGGCTTCTCTTGTCCTTGTTTTTCCGCAAATTACGCACATAAGACTATCATAGTACACGCTTAAACAAGAGATCTTCGTACGAGTACAATTCAGGGTTTTACAAATGAAGTGTTCAGTGGGCTGACTTTCACTAATATCGATTTTCAGATTAAGACATTTAGCTTCGAACGAGCTTCTCGGATTGAGAAGCACCTCCTTACAACCCTCTGTCCAGAAATGGACGCTGTCCAAATTCGCTAAGCCATTGTATAAACTTGTTAGGCTTCCAATATCGACAGCTGCCTCTTTGTCATCTCCATAGCGCTTCTTCAGAACTTTCACAATTGTTCCCAATGGCAACGTCAAGAAGCTAATCAAAACATCTACGAAACCGCTATCAGCTTCTGCAAACAGAACCTTTGTTCGTAGCTTATTTGTCATAACTTTTAGTGAGAACTTAACATCTTTATCAGCAGACATTTTGTTGTTTGTACAAGTGAAGAAAACGTTTGCACCCTCCCTTTCTTTTTATAAGGCAAAAAAAAAATAAGACCAAGAGTCATAGTATACGTAATGTTAGACCAACGGACGTGAATTAAGGTCTTTGTCATTAACATCATATTTATTCGAGTCCTTTTAGTTTTTCTTGAAACAATGAATAATTCATCAATTCATTTAATGCACCGAGAAGTTTGTGTGCATGAATATATCAATACAAACCCCTAAACTATTAATGATCAAATATATACATCCCTTGACTTCGATAAATTTTGGAATAAATGGACAAAAATGCCCTCATATTTTTATTATTCATATATCTTTATAGGGAGTTAGATGCTAATTCACATTGGGTGGATTTGAACTGTAGATTTGATTAAATAACTACCTACTGAGCATACATACATACAGCGGTGGGACATATAAGGAAGGGGGGGGGGGGGGGGGGGTGTTGTTTCCCAAAAATTAAAAGTTTTTTTTTTATTCAATATGGGGCCATGGAGTTTTTAAAAAAAAAACTTTTGAACCCCCCCAAAAGTTTTAAAAAAAAAG